ACCGTATCCTACTAAGCTCGATCAGAAGTAAAACTTACCTAAAAAAAATATTAAACGACTAGCTGGACAAGATTTTCTCGGCAAACAGAGTACGAAATAATATGTACTCCGTGTCTCTTGGCTAATAAACTTCCCTTTCCAGAGAAAATATTCGAAGTCTCTGGTTTACTCACTATGGGCCCGTTACTCAGTCAGATCGAACTTTGTCACAAGTACCTGGAATATCTGACACCTCCTTTCCCGTTTGCTTAAACCATATTTTTCGTGGTTTGCAATTACAGATATCTGGTAGAGAATATTAGACCGGTCTTCCAGAATTTCTTTTGTTTAACTCCGTCTAAGTGACTGTATTCATGAGTTAGCTACAGACTATCATTCACTGTACACAAGAAACATACAATTTCCACGTCTAATTAGAGCTTCCGCCTGTTAAATCTTCTATTAGACGTTAATTTTTTAAACAGCCGGAGCACTTCTTATTTCCGTGTTTGGTGAGAAGGATATAAATATGCTGTTTTTTGCAGCACTTGAGCAAGCTACGAATTATTAAAAAGTGCTGGCTTAGCTTACTTTTTTCTTAGATTGAGAAACAACAGCTTGTTCAAAATTTCAAAACAGTTAATCTAACAGATTAGCGACCTTGCTCACTGAAAGCCTGGTAGAAAGATAAAGATCACCAGAAAGTCGTTTAATATTTTTTTTAGGTAAGTTTTACTTCTGATCGAGCTTAGTAGGATACGGTGAAATTAAGAACGCCGAATGATTCTGTTTTGTTATGAGTATTTAACGTTTCATAATCTTTTACAGACATTCAAACAGTCTGTATAAATTTGTAAACCATACGCCAACACCGACGACAATTGAATAACACTTGTCAGATGCTGAGACGAAGATTTGCAGGATTTCTTGTTGAGCTAAATGACTGTGCTATTTTTGGAAAGAAGTTACATGTCAGATCAAAGACACGATATTTTTTTGCCGCATACATTACTTGCTTAACTCTTAATTTTTTTGTCATTCTAGAATTTACGAAGTACTTTACATTGCACTCGGTCTTTCCAACAGGAGATTTACGCTTGTTCTCTGGATCATTCACAAATATTCGAGTTTCATAAGCCATTTTCCAGATTTTCACTTGAACTGTCTTGTATTTTTGCTCAATAACAAAACGAAGACCAGTGTCTCAAAATTCGTTTGTTTAGTGTCCAAGATGCGTTCGAACAACTCTTGGAATAGAGTTCAAAATGAAATGGACAGGTTATTTTTGATTCAATTACAAATGCAGAAACCTCGTGGTTTTGTCACAAACACCATACTATAAAGTCAACATTTTGGATTTTGATTTAGTTTTTTTGTACATTTTACAAAGTTTTTGCTTTACAACTTAATATTGTATCAGTTTTATATAAATCACAGATGATAAAGAAAAATAAGGCTTGCTTGAAGGATTACATTGACCCAAATGTTACAAGTCCGGTTAGATATCCAGCTAGTCTGCGAGAGTAAACTGTGAAAAATGATTTTCAAAAAAAGTATCGCTCTCTATTTTTTCATAGGTTTGCTTTTGATAAGAGACTTTAACCTAACTGATGAAAAGTTGGAGAGGAATGTCTGTGAGATTTGGGTTTCAACACTTTTGAAACTAGCCAATATGTTTTAAACCTGTCGGAGAACATAAAAAATGCATAGTTTTGTGATACTGGTTTTTAACAAAAGGAGAAATCTCTTGCTCTGAAAAAAGTTCGTTGACTTGGTTTCCTAATCAGCTATGTAATTATTTGTTCGGCAACTTTTTCGCTAGGAAAACCTGGTTGCTAGCGCTACTTTTCAAAGGGCAAAAAACTTGCATAAATAGTTTTGGATCATTCCCAATTGATTTAAGCTACGATATAGTTGGCTAAAAACATTACTAATTCAAAAAGATCCTTTCAAAGGATGCTGACTGAAGTGCTAAGATTTTTAAAAACCATATTTTAACACAGATTTTCTGAGCTCTTCTGAGTGGAGCGCGCGCATGCGTTTCAGAAAATCTATCCTCAAGATAGAAATTTTTTCGATTCCGATTTTCTCCTAAATAGTGTTTTTGTGGAGTGGAATGGACGAGTTTTTCATTCGGCTTGATCCTAACGATCGGGCGTCCAAATAGTGGTTTTCGGTGGTAAAAATGCCTGTCATAACTTGTTTAGATAACATGAAATCGCTACTCAGTGAAAAAAATTTTATTGTAGGAAATTTTATTATAATACGGTGGAAATGTGCCCCAAAGTAGTTTAAACTACGTTTCATTCAGGAAAATTTTTGCCCCAAAAGTAGTTTAATGCACTTTTTTCCGTAACTTTTTTTCCAAAAGTACATTAAAGTACTTTTTTTTCGAAGAAAAAATCTTTATTTGGAATAAAAGCAGATGAAAATATTTTCTTTTCGTAAAAAGTAGTTTAAACTACTTGTTTTTCGTGATTACTTTGCCCTAAAAGTACTTTGGTATACTTTTTATCCGGGGAAAAAAACGAAAAGTAAGTTACTCTCTGATATTTTGGAAATATATGAAGATATTCGTCAATGGAAAATTTGGTGAGCTATACAAATTTGAAAAGACTCGAGTTCAGTTAATGCAGGGCATTAACGGCATCCAAAGAAATATTGGGTGATTACATGAGAAGATTTAAAAACCACTGTTTGAAACAGAAGATCAAGAGGTGCATTTCAGTCTTGGCTCTAGTCTTGATCAATTTATAGTTCAGCGTAAGAGTGCACACTAAGCTCTGTGCATTGAGGATGGAAAGGCACTTTGACGTAGATGGGATGTTTTTTCTAGATTTACATTTGTCACTCAGTTTTTTGGAGTTTTTCAGGGTATCTAAAAAAACCACTTTAATTTTACTACACCAGCGAAATTTCCTGCAAGAGATAACTGAAAAGAGACTTTTAGGGTTATTGTATGCTCGCGGCGCAGGTGTACAGCGGATTTCGCTTTTTACTCCCTTGCATATAACGATTCTGTGGAGGCAGACTGGACAGGTCTCTCGTGTCAACTTTCAGTTTTCAGAAATGCAATTTTTATGAGGAAAAAGTCGAAACAGGGATACGAGGTTCGAAACTCAAGACCCGAAAAGCGTCTAACTTTTTTCCACCTCAAGTCTTTATTTATTTTCTCTAATTTTCTCTACTCTCCGTCAGGAACCTATATCTAAGGCACTACTTTCATTATTGTTTAGCGAGCAATAATAAAAATCACTGCCCATCTCAGAAGTCATCGGCTTAACGGCCATTTTCCATTCTGACAAGTTCAGGCGTTTCCACAGTTCTTTTCTAACCTACAAGAATTCTAATTTTTCTTCATCATATATTTTCTTTTTTTAACTAAACATAACCGATAACAAAAAAACGAAAAATCAGCAGACAAGTAAAACCAGATGGCATAAAAACTGCTGGAACGGATGACGACGTTATTTATCTTCTTTTCTTCTTTCTAATGCAGTAGACTTCTGAGCCAGTTTACCACCAACCTGTCCGCATTCGAGACTCCTTCGTTTCCTTCTTAACTTCTTCAACCACCGACAAACTCATGACCGGACGATGTTTGTAATCTTTGGTTGAACACATTCCGTGAAATCCACCAACGATGTAACACTGTTTTGTTGTCCCCTCTTCTTCATTCACAAATTTCACCGGTACACGAATATTGTCAAGTTCTTTTTCATTGTTGTCAACTAACTTCAGAACCCAGCCAGTTAGACGTTCACGTTCGCCAAACATATATCCATCTCTGAATCTTTCTCGTTTTGTATCACAAACTTTGATCCAGAAACTTTGATCGACTCGACCTTCATATGTTTCGATGAACTGGTCGAAGATTGGCAGTAGACCGTCGAGATAATTGTTGAACTGTGCGGGAGCGCTGCGTGCAGAGGCTGAAGGACCGCTTGGAAAGAACATTTTCAGTTTTTCGGTTTTCATTCTCAACATTTTCTAATCGTCCAGTGTACCTAAAACGAATAGACAGAAAGAAGATTTACACAGTCAACATCGCAGCTCTCCCGCATTTGATAGCATACTCAGGAACAAAAAAAGTGTTTTTTTTTGTTTTGGAACTACGCTTAAATCTGCGTCATCTGTCAATTCAGAAGTTCTCTATATTGGCTGAAATTTCGTGAAGTAGGCAAATCCTCGGGCACTCTGAATTTAAGGTATACGGAAAGTTGCGCAAATCTCCGAAACTGTGTTTCCTCTAGCGTATAATGGAGCGACAGTACGATACTATTTGCTGTCGAAATATTTCAGATGTGAGAAAGCTCGAAAAATACACGAAAAAATGCGAAGTTTGCTTTTCTGAGAACAAGTCTAATTTCAGTATTTTGCAGGAAACTGAGTTTTCATTCGTTGTTTGTTGATATTTGGCACTACTTGAAATTTGACTCCAATACAGCTCTGCCCGGCTTGGTTCAGAAAAAACTGTGTTCAGCCTTACCAAGTTTTTTTGAGGGGATACGATTTGTTCTGTCAAGCTTCTACGTGATGAACTCCTCATTTATCCTTATAAATGCCGCTACCTAATTTGAGCCAGTTACAAGCACGGCTTAGTAGGTAGATATTTGGCTTCCTCCTCATAACTCATTCCTACCTAAAAAGTGAACTTGTCGAATACCACAACTAATGCATGAATAGCCTGTATAATCGAAATACGGCTGAAATGTATGCATGAGACAGCCAGCTGAGAGAAGTGCTTCAACTTTGCCTGTTGATGTAAAATTTGCTGTTAACAACTCGCAAATTTCTCCTTTGACATTTTTATTAATTTCCTGTTGCATATCAATAAAAAATAGTTTCCAAAATTCTTCCATTGGAGTATCCACTTCTACCACTTTCAATTCAATTTTGCCTTCAGTATGTGATACGAAATATGGTCGCATTGCTTCAGCATTGTTGTTGACATATTTTGCAAATTTCAAGCAGACGAGCAGCCACATATCGTCTGGTGAGAGAATCAAATCTTGATGGTTGTTGTAGGCAAGGACGAAGGTTTCAACAATTGGATTTTTATCAGCTATGATCTTTGTTGTTGGTCCATTTGCAGTTGTAAACAACGGTTTGTAGACCTAAACAGACAGACATAATTATGGAAATAACTTAAGATTGAGCCATGGTTTAAAGGAGTGCGTTCCTGTAGAAAATGAAGCATTTTTCATGATGTTTTCGGCTTTCTATTGAGTAATCTTAAATCAGGATTTGTAAGGAAACGTTTTCCTTCGTAGCAGGATTTTGATATCTATTAGTCTCTCAAAACTTCTCTACTCCCACTTACCCTCTTACTGAAATACTTTTTATGAGAAAAGTGCCTTCCTAGAGAAGGTAGGTTAAGGAGGTAAGCTTTGCGACAAGACTAAATTTTCAGTGATCATTCTGCTTAATTATGCGCTGAACGGTTCGGTGAAATAAATGCGTTTTTTCTCTCGCTGGAATTCAGAAGGTCTCTTTTTCAACAAGACTCTGGTTTCGGTCCGTTTCGCAACTATAATGACTGTGGATTTTCAGAACGTCTTGCCCGAGGAAAGAAAAAGCATTTCCTCGGTAAGGTCGGACGAAAGAGGGAGGGATTTATGACAAGTATTCCATAGAGCCCAGTAGAGCGAGTTGAAATCCTTTAAAAAATTTAGAGTTAATAGAAATCGCACAAACGTTCAGGTTTCTTGGATCGCTCCTAAAATTGTTAGAAAGATCATCCCACTTTGAAATGTAACACTTACTCCGTTACTTCCTTCTAAAACTTCCGGCACTTTCTTCAACCAGTACTGTTCAATCTGTCCAGTTGGAATTTCATTGAATGCACCTTGAATTTCAATTGGCTCAAGTTTTGAATCGATGACGACCGTATGATACGTGCTGTTGGCTGATTTGCCTTGAGCTGCTTCTTGTGACATCTTCTAATTTGTTGACTGTTTGTTTGTTAGAATGATTTATTTTTTGTTGGGAGTTCAAGAAATCTAAAAAACAAAAAAGAGATTTGCTAAGAAACTCTTATAACTGGCGCAAGAGCAAAAGAAAAAAGCTTTGAGGACCTCATGGCGGAAATAAGCGGTGGAACACTCTAGATAAGGGACTTAACGGAGTTTTCGCTGATGTGCTGAAAATCAAAAAAGACACGAGGACAATGCAAACGCGGAGATCGACTCGAAAGAGAAAACGAGATAAATGCCTGAATATATAGAAGTGAGAATGATGAAGGAATGCATGACAAAGAGAATGCAGCATCAATCATTCTGACTCAGTGAAACTCCTAGGTATGTTACCTAAAGGATTACGACACTTCGGAGTCATAACAAGTAGAAGCTAGACTGCACTTTCTACAAGCTTTGGAACGTATACAGCTCCTCTCTGTAATTAATTCAGATAAAAACTCGTGAAAATGTGGAGCTGAACGATGGAAGTAAAGCTGAGGTTACAACAAAATTCTTAAGCTCCTTGAAATGTACGGAGATTGTATAAGTTGCAAAAAGATTGTGCAGTTCGGGAGCCTTTACTTGCGTGATATCACAAAATATCTTCTTCTTACTTTGTATACCTATACTTCTCTCTTTTTGTTTATCGTGTAAAGCCCATAATCAGTAGCGGGTTGTACAGAGGACAAAGTTCACACACTTACCTCTGAATCTATAAGACGAAAGAAAGAAAACCTAGCTGGAGGAGAGAGAAAGTATGTCGAAAGGGTTGTGAAATATGTAATTCCATTCCAATGAATCATTTTGATTGCGTAAGTTGATCAAGCATCCTCTCGAGCGAGGAAAAGATAAAAAAGGTCAGCTCGAAGTCACAAGGCTATTTTCTCGAGTGGAAATTACGCCGTTTTTTTGTTAACTATTTTTTGAATCAACGGATCATGTGATAGAGAATTTCATGAACTTTTATCGACGTAAAAGTTGTACAAATTGAATTTAACGGGAAAGCGTTCTACGAAAGCTGCTAAAAAAGATAATTTTAAGTGAAATTAACAGCAAAGATAAGTTTGGGGGCGATAGGGGGGAAAAAAAAGAGTGTTCGAGTTGTAACCTACGCGAAATATCTGAGCATGAGTCAGGTCGTCATCTGTGTATTTTATTTCTAAAAACGCTCTTCTTACAGACAGAATTGTCACAATCCTAATTCGAGAGCAACTTAAGCCAAAGCAGACCCAATTTTTTGAATGAAATTTGTGACGGAGTCCTCTCTGAGAAAAATTCAATGGAAATACAGTGTAGTAAAATCGACTTTAGAAGCTCTACTTTCAGAAAATGACTTCCTTTTAGCTGAAATTTCAAACATTGACAGAGCCGTTGCCTGAAAAATTCAAAACTATATTTTGAACAGTATTCCGTTTTTCCTACGGCTTTCGAACTTCTCTGAGTCTGAGTAAGTAGACGACTGCTAGATCGACACACAGATATTTTAAAATGATAATAACTCCGCAATATTTCCTTCACTTTTCTCCCAAGTTGTCATTCGACCCCCAATATATCTCCCTACAGACTTCGTTTCTTCGTTTTGGAGTCGTTCGTGCGAAGACCGTAAAGCTTGACTTTTGTGACAGAGATTTATTTTCCTAGTCTTTTCATTTCAGATTTTCTTCCTGCCTGATTGAAACTTCTGAACATGTCCGACCTGCCTCCCACTACCATCAACATCTTCCCCGTCGAACTCTGGGACGCTCTCTTCAAACACTTCTCCTTCCTCGAACTCTACCGTACATTCAGCATCCTTAACTCCCGCCTAGCCTCAATAATTCGTCACCTACTAACTATCCACGTCCATCTGTCCACAGAAGCTGACCTTGAAATCTGGCGCTATCTCAACTCGCGAAATACGTCGATCGATCCAACTACCGTGAAATCTCTTCGAATTGAAGACGAAAGTGCCTACTTCTCTCACCGTCAAGATTCGTTGCTACCATTCACTGCCCTTCGCTCACTCTCACTCTCCACGTATCCGTTCGACGATACACCTCTCTCTCAGTCTACTCTGAACTTTATCTCGACATTGCCTCAGCTTCTATCCCTACAACTCGAAGATCCAAAATATTACACCAACTATTCAGCATTCATCAAGAAAATCATGCAGTTAGTTTCTGTGGCGGAGCTAACCACTTTCCTTCGTTGACAAACTTCGCGTTGAAATCTCTTGTTTACCATACAAAGTATCTACCTGAATTGAGTGTACCCAAGACAACAAAACTCCAACATCTCAAACTTCCAGCACTCACGTTTCGTCCGTTCTACCAGATGTTTGCTGGGCTACAGGTAAGAATGCTCAAAGTCGCTGTATTCTCGATTTTAACTGCAGTTTCTAGACTCCTAAACGTTATAAAAGTTTGTGAGGAAAATAGGAGCTAATTATGCAAAGATATCTGTTAAACCACTTCTACGCGAAGAAAACGGGATTGATGCTTAAAAAAAAAAAAAACAGTCAACGTGCATTGTATTGAACTTCATTCCGGTATGCTCGAGGTTAGTTTGTTTATTCTTGAATGCATTTTCCTCGTGTGAAAGTTTTTTAACAGATATCATATATTTGGGTTAACTATAGTAGTTCCCAGTTTACTCGGCAACTTTTCCCACCTTTGCAGCTCTGGAAACTGCAGCTAAAATCGAAAAAGAACAGTAGATAATGCAATCTAGTTTGAACGAAGTGACTTATATTTGTCTTTGACACTTGCCTACTTTTAGGAAATCAGAACAATTGAATTAAAAGGTCTGTTTCCTGATGGAGGCGGATCAATACTTCGTGAGTTGTCAACAATACCTGCACTTCCACTCTGTAGTGAACTCAACATCTATTTGGATATGGAATTTGGTTATCCTTATCTTGAAGCACTCTTAAGCCGACTACCAAACTTGAAGAAGTTTTGTTTCAAAGGAGGACATCATTTTTTTGGAGAATTTGGAAAATTAGAAAAATTGTTCACAAAGTACTCTCCACGACTGATGATGCTACGACTACGATTTTACAGGATCAACAGTTTCGACGAACCTTCTCCTTCTTTGGCAGAATTTCAAAATAACTTCGAAACAGCATTCTGGCGTGATCGTCAATCTGAATTCCAGATTGAAACTGAGGACGGAGCTAACTATCATACTGTACGATTTGATCTAGTTCAAGTAAGTGGTATAGACTTTTTTCTCAAGACGAAGTTTGTTGTGCAGGACGAGATTGTAGAGCTAGGTTCGACTCCGCCTTCTGTTTTCTGTGTGAGAAAAAGGTCGACTGGTTCCGCTGAGTTCCAAAAAAAGTGTCTAAATTTTCATTAATTTAGTGCGGTAGAACGAAATTTCGAAGATTGAAATTTTCTGAACAAAACAAAAAACTCGATTGGAACTCGCTTTGTGTGGACTAAAGCATATCGATGGAACGGAGTATCGTACACATCAATGGCTTGAACTCTCTGAACGAGCACCTGACTGACCAGGTTCAAAAAACGGCTTTCTCTCCACTTCTGGATCGGTCAACTCCGAATATCAGCAGCTGCGGTTGCAGGAAGCTAATCCCATAGGGACTAAGATTTGCTTTTTTTTTAAATCGATAAACTCAAGCGATTTGACAAAATGCTTTGTTTCTCGATATCAAGACCAGCAAGAGACTTCTCGCTTTGATAACCGTATTCCTTTTTTTGGTAAAACTTCTGACTAACACAACTCTAACCGTTATGACATAAAATACACTTAAAGAGGTTAATTCACGGCAACGCATTCGAGAGAATGTTCTATTTCTTTTTTTTTCTCATTTTGTGATTTTTTTTGGTCTATTCTATTGCAAGACCTCCATTTTAAAGAGTACGGGTGTCTCTTCTTCCGGTTTAAACTAATGTCAAGCCTCCTGTAAATCGACATTTGTCAGAAACTGAAAGTGTCTATTCTTGAACTATTTGAATTAGAGATTTTCTAAGCGGATTTCTACACTAACCTGTGTAATTGAGAGTAAAATGTTTTCAATGTTCTTTGATCGAAATTCTGGAGGGTTTGCGTGAAGTATAGATAATGAGTTAACTTAGATTTACCGCAAAATTACCGCGAAGATTCATTTCAGCTTTGTACTGGGTTTTGGTCAGTCAGTCTTGTCCTTGTATCTCTGACATTCAGTTGGTTTTAGCTTCAGTTTTGACTGCACTAAAAATTTGACAATACCAGATACGTTTACGGTCACTTATTTGTTGCGGTTAAAACTAGAAGTTCTGTTATCCGCTAGTTGGCTATAGCTCACAAGGTCGTCGGTCATGTAACCGACGTTTACGTCTAATCAGCCTGTCTATCTCTTGAATTCTACATTTCGTCCGTTTAATTGTTTATTAGACGTTAATTTTTTAAACAGCCCGAGTTGAACTTATTTCCGTCTGTACAGACAAGAATATAAACATCGTCTGCTACGTCATTTCAGCCCGGTACTAACTACTAGGAAGTGCAGCCCTTCTTAGATTGACAATCAACAGCTTGTTTAAGATTTCAAAATCGCATCTAAGATAATAGGGTTCTTGCGCACTAAAAAGTTGAGCTATTTTTTGCGAGGTAGATACGTTTTTTTGGTAAGTTTTGCTCCTGATTGTGTTCAGCAGGGTACATAAATCATTTGGTTTCTGTTGAAAAAATTCAACGTTTCAAAATGTTTTATTGACCACCCAAACAGTTTGCAGCTTTTTTTTAGAAAAACATCATTGTAGTGACAATGACAATTGAAGAGAGAGTGGTCTCCATACGAAGATTTGCAGTTTTTCTCACGAAATAAATGCAGTATTTGTCTTTTCAGGAGAAAAAGTTACGTTCGATTTTGAGGGATTCGGTCTTTCTGCCACAAACATCATTACTCTCCTAAGTCTACATTTTTTGTCATTGTAGAATTTACAAAATAATTTCCATGGTATACGCTTTCTTTCCTACACCCAGAAGACCTACGCTTGTTT